AAAAAAATGGAAAGGAACAAGAAAACAACTTTCCAGAAAAAAGATAAAAATAAAAATAAAATAAACAGAAGGAATGGACAATAAAAAACAATCTGTTCGGCGGCTTTCTAGAAGGGAAAACACGACAACAATGAATATTATTGAAATAAATAACACTCGGAATATAAGAAAAGTAGAAAAACAACAGTAAAACAGTGAAGTTGGAGAAGAAATTAAAGTTTTCGAAAAAAGTAAAAACACTTCTCATCACTTGACTTCCAAACCCAAAACCAAGAACTGAAGTCTTTTTTTTTTTGTTTTTTTTTGTTTTTTTGCTAAATATAGGCACTCGCCCATTACCGTATGTAAAATAAAGACCTGCACTTTGAATTCTCGTGTAACCAAAACAGTTTTGATCTTGATCCAATTCCAGGTCAATGGACTGACTCTACACAGCCATACTGAATCAAATCTTTCATGCATTTTTCCTACAATAAATCACTCCCTTTTTTCACCTATTATTGGTTTGTAATCCTAAACAATAAGACTAATGCAGCAAACTGGAAATAACTTCTGGATTGTTTTTATCTTTGTCACGAATTTCGGCGCTTGATCGTTACAGAACTTTTTCTGCAAAAACTGAGTGGATGAAAGAGGGTAAATCGGCCAAACAAAGTAACTAAACGAACAAATGGGATAAGGAAAAGAAAGTTCAGGAAGGAATAATTTGGCTAACAAGTAGCCACCAAAGTTTCATTTGGTGTATATGAACATACACACACAAATACACACACACACACACACACACGCACCATAGCATTTTTGAATTTTTGATGGCTTCTGAGCACGACAAAAAAACTTTTTACTATAGCAGCAGCCAAAAGAAAACAAGCGAAAACAACTCAACAAATAAAACCAAACTGAGTTTTGTGACGATGGTCAGTTTGGTTTTATTTGTTGAGTCGTTTTCACTTGTTTTCTTTTGACTGCTGCTATAGCAAAAAATTTCTTTGTCGTGCTCAGAATTCATCAAAAAGTCAAAAATGCTATGGTGTGTGTGTGTGTGTGTGTGTGTGTGTGTGCGTGTGTGTGTGATAGTTTACACACTTCGCAACTTCGACATCAGATGAACCTTTGGTGACTACTTGTTAACGAAAATATTCCTTTCTGAACTCTCTTTTCCCTATCCCGTTTGTTTGTTTGGTTATTTTGTTTGACCAGTTCACCTTCTTTCACTCACTCAATTTTTGCAGAAAAAGTTCTGTGACGGTTGAGCGGCGAAAGTCGTGACAAAGATAAAAAAGATCTAAAAGCTATTTCCAGTTTACCACATCGGTCTTATTGTTTAGGATCAAAAGCCAACAAAAATAAGAAAAAAAAGGAATAATTTACTGTAGGAAGTTTTTGCTACAGTACAGAGAAATGAATAAAGAATTTGATTTAATATGCTTGTGTACGGTCAGCTTATAAATTAGTCATGAACGTCAAGTAGGGCTTGTTTTCTAATAAAAAATGTCATCTGAAGATATAACCTGAAGACAGCGAACTGGATTTTTCTTCCCTGACATGAGTCATGCGGCAGTCCTGGACCCCAAAGTGCTTAAATATTAACCTGGAAGTGCATCATAACAGTGATCAAAGCTGTTTTGCTTAGCAAGGAATTTAAAAGGTAGGTTTTTTTTTTGTTATATACGGTAATGAGCAAATGCCTATATTTTGATAAAAAAAAAGCTTCTTTGCTCTTGTTTTCGGATTTGAAAATTAAATGGTAGAAAGTATCTTAA